CTTTTTCGGTATGAGGGAGTCTTTGTATCCGTCCTCTACCCGATCGTCAGCGTTCCAGTCGAGGGCCCTTTCTCTGCTTAAGATCGACTTCCCTTTGTCTAAAAATCCACCGGATAAATTATTAGATGCCAATTGCTTCCAGATCGTGTTCGGTTTTCTATTAAAGTGTATTTCGAACGGTGAGCATTTAATTTTAGATTGGAAGGAAGATCGTAGATTCCAAATGATTTTCGAAATGGCGGTTTGTAATGTGGGTTTTTGTTGATCCAGTGACATTGTTAATAATTTGATTTTTACAGTATGAACAAGTTTTTCTACAAGCCCGTTAGAACGATGGTCCCCAACTGTACAGAATATTAGTTTGATATTAAGAGAATTGCAAAATAATTTAAAATCCTGACTAGTAAAGCAGGATGCGTGGTCGACCCGAATAGATTTTGGAATCCCATGGAGATAAAAATAATCTTGAAGAAATTCGATTACTGTGTTTGATGACGTTGAAGATGTAATTTTTGCTGAAGGGAATTTTGAAAAACGGTCTATACACAATAAGATGTATTTATTGTTTCCCCAGTTGTTATCTAGTGGGCCGGCAAAATCAAGATTTATTTCCTCATTAGGTTCAAATAAGGTGGGAAGTTCACTAATTTGTGAAGTTGGAATGATGCTTTTTATGTTCTTACCGGTTTGCGTGCATTGTGTGCAATTAATCCCGTGGAAGTAAATTTGTCGATATATGTGTGGCCACCAAATGTATTGTGCCAAGTATTTCATACCGAATTGGCCAGGGTGAGATTCATGTAATGTTTTTAAAACGGCGTTTCTAAGTGTAAACGGAATAACTAGTTTTCCATCCATATATAATAGTCCGTCGGATTCATGAAGTTCTTTCGAAAATTGGTGTAGATAACGGGAATTTGCATTGATGTTATCTACTTTTTTCTGTAGAGCTTTAACAATTGGGTTTAATAATTCATCATCTTCCGTTAATAAAGCGACCAATTTTGCATTGAATAATGTATTTAAATCCAAAGGTCTTTCGGGTAACTTGAGATTTTCTCGGAATTTAGTTACTAACTTCTTGTGTTCTGATGAAATTTGAAAATCGATAGAGACCTGTATCCCGGAAGTGGAAGGATTTACTACGATTTGGTTACTTGACATATTTACACTATTTATAAGTTTGAGATCCGAAGGATTACTAATTAAGCTACTGTTAAGGATTAAAAAATAGATAAAGGCTGAATTTGATAGGATAATTTTAGTAAAATCAGTGTTTGAGAAATCCGAAGGAATACATTTAGAATTACAAAGTTCTGTTCTATAATGTTTTTGATTGCAGATTGAAATGGAAGAGCTGACGAAATTCAATGCTGTGATTATTACGTGATTTCGTAATTTCATGTAATGGGAATTTTCCGAAATCGAATTAATTGAATTACGTAATGGATTTTCATTATCCGAAGGATTGAGTGCACTATATATTTTTTTGGTAGTAGCAACTACAAATTCTTTGTCGTAGTGTGATGAGGGAATTGCTTTACCCCAAGGAGTTCTTGAAATTAAGTCTGTAAAACCCATATCTTTTCCCGCTAAGTGTTTGATAGTAAAATTGAATGGTAGGAGACGATCTACCCATCTTGTCAATCGGCTATGGTATGTTTTGTTTCCGTGATTTGGTGACAAAGCGGAAAGGAGAGCTTTGTGGTCGGTAATAATTTCAAATTCGGAGCCATAGAGATAATTTTTGTAATGTTCAACCGCCCATACAACTCCTAATAACTCTAATTCGTTTGTTGAATATTTCGATTCGTGCGGATTTAAAAATCTTGAAGCAAATGACACTGTTTTCCAAACTTTCTCATGAAGTTGTTCAAGGGATGCACCTAATCCATTATGTGAAGCATCTGTTTTTACTCTCGTGGGCTTTTTTACGTCGAAATGAGTGTTTTCGGTAAGATTTACTATTTCAGATTTAATCTTGACAAAAGCTTTTGAGTGATCTTCATTCCAAAGGAAAATTGACTTCTTAATTAAAAGAGGTCTAAGCGGGCTTCCGAGGGATGCTAGATTTGGTACAAATTTAATGTACTGATTAGTTGACCCGAAGAATGATCTTAATTCTTTTAGATTCTTTGGGGTTGGAATATCTTTGATTGCCTTGGTTTTATCGAATAATGGGGCGATTCCGGATTTCGACATTTTAAAACCGAGCCATTCAATTTCTTTTTGGAAGAATTTGCACTTCGACCATTTAACTGCGAAATTGTAAGTGTCTAACGTTGATAAAATTTTGTAAACGATTTTCTTGTGATCGTTAAAACTTCCTTTGGAAGCGACTAATATATCGTCGAGGTAGCAATTTGTAAAAGGAATGTTTCCCAAAGTTGAGTCCATGACTCTCTGAAACTCGTTTGGCATATCGCCGAGTCCGTAAAAACCCGTTAAAAATTGATAAGTGCCTGTTATATCTCCGCCGACTAGACTAAAGTTGCATTGGCTGCTAGTAAAATTGTCCAGTGCGAGTTGACTATATGCGTTCTTTAGGTCTAGGTTTGTAAACCATACTTCTCCGGCGGAATTGTCCGAAATTTGAGCCGCCACGTTATCAACTAATTCGTGTATATTAGGCATCTGATATTTGTTCTTGTATATTTGTTTGTTGATGAATTTTGAATCAAGGGCTAGCTTTATCGATTTGTCTTTTTTACAAGTAATAACTATCGGACTAATAAATCTGTCCTCGTCACAGTTTTCTAATTTTTTGATGTGTCCTTCGGATTTAAGCCTGTATAATTCTGTTTTTACTGAGTCTAGTAAGTGTAAAGGGACCCTCCTGCCTTTTAGTTGAATTGGCTTTAATGGTTCATGAAAATGTGTTATTTTTGTTTGATTCTTTATTTTTCCAATCCGAAGGAATAGTTGTTTGAAGGTTTTTCCAATCATTTCTATTTCATTATCTATGTCAAGTGAAGTAACGGAATTGATAAACTTACAAGTTCTCTTGTTGGTGAGTGTTGCGTATTGTTTTTGTGAAACTTCGATTCCGACTTTTGGTAAATTGTCGTTTCCCAAGATGTTTCTTTCATGACCTTGAGTTAGAAAGAAGTGGCATTCCTTGTGGGACCATCCATTTGAGAAAATTGGGACAATTACTTTTCCAGTGATATTTATTGCATTGTTCGTAAATCCACAATAGAGTTCCTTGGTAGCTTTATCCACTGGATATATTTTCACGTAGGGGTCTCGTAGTCTCAACTCGTGTAACACATTCTGTTTAAGGAAGCTTACAGGGCTTGCTGAATCCACCTGTATGTTCAGAATTACTTGGTTTTCATTTCCTAAGCCGATATTTAGTAGTTTCTTCATCTCCTTTCCTTGATCATCGTAGATAGTTGTTACGTTTAATACTGAGTAATCGTCGTTATCGCTTTGTCCAGACTCTGACCATGCATTTATTACTCCACAGCATTCTCTATTAGCGTGGTCAATATGTACATCTGGTTGTTCCGAAGGATAATGATGATCCGTATTATTTACAATTTGGCTATCCACAATATTTACATTTTTACGGCGTGATTTACAAAGTCTAGTAAAATGTCCTCGATATTTACAAGTCGTACATGTTGTATCTTTAGCAGGGCAAACCGCTAGATGTCCTTTTGTAAAACTTCCGCCGCATTTCATACATGTGTTGTTTCTTTCGATGTTTAGGGTGGGTTCTCTTTTTTTATTAAAATGATTAAAAGATTTGTTGGAAGAATATCCGCTGGATTTAAAAGTACTCTTCATCTTTATGTGGTTTGTAATTCCTTTTTCATCAATCAGGGCTACGTTTAAGGCTTCTAGTGGCGGTAAGGTTTCCGTGAGAAGTTTCCGTTGGATATCTGAATTCTTCATGTTATTAATAAAAATATCTCTAATCCATTCGTCTTCTCCTGTGGGAATGTTACATCGTTTTGCAATTTCAGCCAGTGCCCCCCAGAATTGTTCTAATGATTCTCTGTCCCTCTGTTTTCTGTTTAATAGTTTGTGTCTTTCGAAGGTTATGTTTGTTTTTCTCACAAAAGCTGTGGACAAATTGTCCCAAAATTCTTTGAAAGAAATTTGTAGAACTTTGACTCTTGTGAACTTCTGGCCGAATATTTTCTTTCCTTCGTTTCCAAGGGCTAGATAAAGTATGGATCTTAGTTTTTTGTCCGCCTCTTCCAGTCTCATACCGTTGAATTTCTTGGTTTCTAACTTTATTGAGGCCATTTCTTCATCATCGAATCTATTTTGTTCTTGGATATTCCTCTCGATGCGTGATGTTTTTTGAGCGTCGGATTCGTTTTCCGGCGGATTTTCCAATGTTGGGGAGGTGGGTGATATCGTTCCGTTGGATTCAAGAGATTTTCGATGTCGATATTCTCTTTTGCGATTATCGCTAGCTGGAATAGATCGCTCCACTCTTCCCAAGGAATTGGTGGGTCCACAGTGTGGTTCTGCCAAAATGAAGGTATACCTCTCACGTTTGATTCGTTGCTGTTTGACTGCGCCATGATAAAATGTTCCTTTGTTACGGTTAATTCTACTTAGTTACAAATAAGATATGTTTAAAAAGTGAATTAATCTCTAAGTTAAAACATTAAAAAGTGAGCGGTCATTCTCTCCGTCGGAGAGAATGAAGATAGCAAGGTCAAATCAAGATTAACCAGTTAAGATACTTTAAAGTAATTAGTGAAATAAAACAAATGGTAAGAATCACAACACCGGTCATGATGGCCAAGGAACTTTTATAGGCCCACAGAAAGCTGAAAACTTTGCTATTGGCGACTGTTTGGCACTTAAAATCTCTCGCTTTCTTCAAAGACTCATTTGCTGGGATGCCCGGGATCCAACAGAGAAAATAACCTCTAATTGTTTTCGACAGTTTTGCTGCTGTTCAGGATAAAAGGTCATAAAATGCAAACTTGTCACTCGCATTATGTATTCGGGTAAATATCACGGCCGAAGTAAATTTGAAAATCACAACTGGACAAACATGTCATTAGATCCAAAATAGCCAAAAAAAAAACTCATCTTGCTAGTAAGTACAATCAATATAATGGTCAAACATCTTCAACTGCTGCTAATAATATTAGGTGAGATTTATCTTAGTTTTTTGATGTGTAAACAAATGAAAAAATGGACCGTTTTATTCCAGCTGTGTTATCTGCTCGCGTTACTGGGTCGTGGACTTCTTTAGCATTTGTCATCCCTGACTCATATGGTGATGATCTTAATCTAAAATGCTTCGATTTTGGGTTAGTGAACTAAAAAAATGAAAAATAGAGGAAATCTTTTCAGATTGTCGTATATCGTCTCACGTGCGCGTTTTACGTCCAGACTTTTGTGACATCTTTTCGCTTGTCTAGGTTTTCGCAAACATTTTTGGGTATTTCCAATTTTTCGCGACCCAAAAATCTGTTGTGATTTTTGCGACCAGTTTGAGACGTTGTGGCCAAGTTTACGAGTTTTTGCGACCGATATTCGATCTGTCCAGACTTTCGAGGGCAGACTTTGTCATTATAAGAGTCTCTCCATAAAGTTTTTCTGGTGACTCAGATTCGTTCTGTTTTCAGTGGAAACGGTTTTGCTTTGGAAATTATTGTCGATTTTCTTGTAAAGCTAGAGCATGAGAGAAAGAACCTCTCGCATTCAAGTTTAGGCATAAGCAATCAATAATAACGGATTATTATGATGATTTTTTGAGAACTATGATTGATTATAATCACCAAAATCAGGTGTTTAAAAAATTTTATAACCGATTACAATCGTGATATTTTCCAAGAAATTATAATCTATTATAGACGATTACATTTGATTACAACTCATTCAAAAAACAGTTAAAATCAATTATAATTAATAATATATGATTATGATCTCTAATTTTGCCGGAAATTCGTAATACCAAAAGTCCCTTTTAACTATATCTCATGGGTTACTGTCAGTTTCTGTCTAAAAGCGAGATGTCTTGTCACACTTTGGTTCGACTCAACACAAAGTCTTACCACGAAACAAAACTTCATAAAGATACTTTCGTATTAGTTGAAAAATTCTCGCGGTAAGAAAAAAATAATTCTTTCGAGTAACTGATGAAACTAAAGCAAGGTGCTGATAATTTGGTGCTTTAGAAAACTTAAGATGTACATCATGAATCAACTCCAATGAGAAATGAACAAATGGAAAAATTATAAGTTTGAAATGATTGGAAATTGTTTAAAGTCTTTCTCTCACTTTTCACATAAGCCAAAGTCTACAAAAAGCATAAAATATAAGCAGTTTGGATGCAAAGTTGGAGACAAAATGGGCAAACAAAAATGATTATAATCGATTATAATGGATTTTTAAGCACAACATATGAATTAGGAACTGGGATAAAAAATCGATTATAATCAATTATAATTGATTATAATTGTATCAAAAAGTAGATTGATCACTACTCGATTATAATCGATTGAAATTTATTATAAATGATTATAATTGGATTTCAGAAATAGAGATTAGAGTCGAATAATGATTGATTAAAGTCATTTTTTTCTCCATTTTAGTACAAAAATTATAAAATAACCGCTTATTAACGCTTGTAACTGGATGCGGGCTCATTCTGACGTATAAAAAAACTAAAAAGATTCTACAATTCTGATTCAAGTCCGAAACGATTTACAAGATCATTTCGGACTATGTTGAGAATCGCAAAATCTTCATCACGAGGCGAAACTGTGCACTGGATAGGCGCACAATTTTTTGTCTGTATGTTCCTGGACTACGGAGACAAATCTTTACAAAATGGTCTAAATTGTAAGTGAATTCCACTTACAAAAGTTTTGTGGATTTCGCGTACAAATACCTGTATCGTAAATGTTGTCGGCACATTTGTTTTGCTGCGGATTCCGCAACAAGCAAATAAAACTAGTGGTTCTGGAATCCGCAAGTGCAAGTGGCTTCCGCAAAATGTAAGTGGAATCCGCAAAATGTAAGTGGAATCCGCAAATTTAAGTGGAATCCGCAAACAAAATGCGGATTCCACTTAAAATTTGTGGATTTCTCTAGTAATTCGCGGATTCCACTGAAATTTTGCTGAAGTCAGTTACAGTTGCGGATTCCGCTTACAGTAGCGGATTCCGCAACAGCTCATTGTACTACTCGTATGTCTTATTAATTGTTTGTGAATTCCACAAACTGTTCTGGATTCCGCAAATACAGTTGCAGGTTCTGCAAAATCGCCGATTTTTGAAGCGATTTTGAGCGGTACAAGGTTCTAAGTGTTTGTTTCAAGAATCCAAAGCAGCAAAGATGATCAAAGAAAAGTAGCAATGTTGCGGATTCCGCGACAAATCTGATTTGGCCGGTTGCGGAATCCGTTTACAATGCACAGATGCACAGTTTGGCCTCGAAATTTTTCAAGATTTTTATCCGTCAGAATGAGGTGTTTCTTTATGCTAATTTTGTTTTTGCTGCGTTATTTTCAATTATTATCATAGTACACTCTAAGAACTTACTAAAACAAGCTCAAATGAAAAAAGATCCTTATTTAATAGGTAATTTTTGGTATAGAAACATAAAGGTATAAAAGCCTGAAAGGTTACGAAAAATTCTAATTGAGAGAACACATTGCCATTTTAAGGTCAGAGAAGATTATGTTTTTGCTTTTTCACATTTGTTCTTTCACGACAAAACATGTATGAAAAATGAAATATTAGAACGCATGAATGAAAAAGAAATCATTTGCATAGTTTCGCGCTTTTTTCCAGGCTCTTTCACATTTTTCAGGGCTCATTCACAGTTTTCTGGCATCTTTCCCTCAGAAAGAGCAAAAACATGCTCTTCAACAGTTAGAACATAATTGAAGATGGCCTCGGGCAAAAGAGCCGCACTCGGGCACTTCGTGCCCTCAGGCCGGGCATTTTCAACTGTGTTCTAAATACTACAACGACAGCGTGTAAATAGAAGCTGAAAAGAGTCCATTATTGATTGACTAGGTTAATTCCCCATTATTTGCCCTGCTCTGATGCTCTTAGGACCTTTTTAATATTTAATGTTTATTGCAATTTTGATTTTTTGCATAGATAATTTTTCATTTTTAAGAATTTTAACCTTAAGCAAGAGTTTCGAAAACGTTACACTTCCATAGGCCCGGTTAGGATGGATATCAAGTATCTTAAAAAATTTTCGAACATATTATCAAGAAAACTTTAGATTTATTGCAGGTTAACACAAAATATCCATTTTTTCCTCCGAAAATTGAAAGAATGACAAAAGCGCAGAAAGCGTTTTAAAGAAATTTTTGAAGCCATTCTTCAATGTCGGTGAAGGTTTTCAAAAAATAAATGAACATCAATTTTTTGAAAAAAAACATCGATTAAAACTTGAGCATATTAGAAACGACTTATGTGGTTTTTGATGCGACTCAATGCGAATCCACTTGTTTTTTCAAACTACTACTAACTTTGGCGGATAAAAAACCAAAAATCTAAAACAAGCTGGACAATTTTTGTTTCTGAATTTGCCATTTCAGTGCTTCTTTCTGCACATTTGGCTACTTGGTGAAGAATAACAAGTGGCCTCTACGTTGGAAAGAAAAATACAACCAAGTGTTTGACATACTGGTGCACAGAGCCTACAAAAACATCAACTGGTTCTCATTCGATAACAACGAGCTCGGTTTGTACCTTACAGTTATTTTGATTTTCCGAGTTATCACAAAAACCTTGACATGCTAAAATATCTAAACGCCTTACAGTTTACCGCTTCATAATTTTATCTGAGAAAAAAATTCAATCAAAAACGTACAGTTACAAAGCCTGAATAAAAAGTCTGAAATTTGTCTAGAGAAAAAAATTACGCCGAACACAAATATTTGGTCGGAAAAATTCTAGAGGACGGTTGAGAGCTCTTTGACCTTACTGAAGTTTATTTGTCTTTCTTGTTGTTCTGGGGTGCTTTTTAGGCTGGGGTGCTTTTTTAACCGAAAAATATTTTGAGTTTTTTAAACTCATTTTTGACAGAGCTTTATGTCATCTGAAAATCTGGATAATCTAAGCTCAAACTTGAAAAGATATTTGAATTGCGACGAAGTTTTTTTAAGTTATGGCGGTTTGAAAACTACCAGTCTGGGTGACATGTCTCGTTCTTTTAACGCGTCAGTGGTTATTTAATCCCGCTCAGAAATTGTTCCAATTTGTGCTTAGGGGAGTGCGGTCTGTATTTAGACAACCACGTGTTCATACTTGTCAGTAAGCAATTAAATACCATATTAACCAATCATAATCGAGACGAGAAAGCAAACTTACCAAATAAATATTGATTAGTAATTCATTTCTTCCTTGTCTCGGTTCTGATTGGTTAGTATAGTATGTGTCCGCTTACTGACTAGTCTGAATATGCGTTTGTCTAAATACTGCTACGTAACCGTGCTTAGACCAGCTAGTAGAAGCTAACAATACTGCTCGTATATCAGGGCAAAGCCCTTAATGTTCCGACTGTCCCTCAATTCATATCGAATAGTTTTTGTGGAAAAAAGTACTGAAAACCTTTACCATTTGGACAATATCTAATTGTAAAATTTTGAGTTCTACAAAAACAATAAGACCAATTAGCTAGCCTCAATTCAATTTGGAATGATTTTGTTGTGCGGGATAATTTGCCACGCATAAATAGTTCGCGTTACGCTCGAATTTTTGTTGAAAATAATTATTTCGATTGGTGAAAATTAACTGAATAAAAAAACCACATCGAGCACAAATATTCCCTTTTCTTCGAAAGTCGGAACAAAAATACGTTGCTAGACGCTACTAAGATGCTCCTATATCCGAGTAGAGTCAGCTGTTCATAAAACTTGAGTAAACCTCGAGGAAGATTCTTGCAAGATCTTGGAAGATAACCTTCAATCAAAATTTTTCACAAAAATTTATTCTGATCGCCAGAAAAAGACAATGGAGATCCGATTTGACTACGGTCGCAGAGAGTTCCGAGTTTAAAAACGGATAGAAAATTTTAAAATTAAGTTGAACTGGAATTGTTCATTTGTATGCTCATTTTTTTTCAGTTTTCGTAATGTAAAAGTTTCAGGTTGTGGTTATATTTTATGCATTTCAATTAAAAATTTCCAAAACGATTTTTTTTTATTGAAATAGTTCATCTGGTTTTGAAAACATAGTGGTAAAATTTTAATTTATTGTGATGTTTGTCAAAATTGTGATCAATAGAGTCAATTAGCTTGAGTTATTTTTTATGGTGTGAATATAAATACGTTTATCCGTATGCGGTAAGAATTTTCAATTTTCTTTTTTTTTCATTTGCGTAAACATATAAATATTACCACCACACTTCCCTTCCCACATAAACATTATTGATTGTAATCGCGCATAAAGCCGTTTTTTTCTCACAAAAAGTAATATCTTTACTGATCTCGTTTTAAGAAAAGGCTATCTTTAAAGGAGGTTATCATGCAAAATAATCGTATCATACAAAGTTCGTAGTCACTCCAACTTCGGCATGCCCTAGTAATCGTTATTTCAGACCACTTTCAATTAAGAATCCGAACGCTGCAAAAGCCTTAATTTAGTCAGGTAGTTTGATTTGCACTATAATTTAGGGAGATGTTGCCGCTTCCAGAATGATATGTACGAGCAGGAGGGTCGTCAGAAGGGATTATCGCCTGCCGAGTACTACTACAAAGTCACTGATTTCTCCCACGAGGGCAAACGGCTAAACTACTTGAGGGTAAAAAAACAATTATTTAGCTAATTTGAAACAGGGTTCAGAGTTCATTGGGTTACAATAAAAGTAATCTTGCAGAATATTTAACTGAAGTTGAATACTTCGCTGTAATTTTTTGCCCTGAAACACAGCAACCAAACTTTTCTCAAATGCGAACACTTGTAGGTCAAATGGCATTAACATTGCTAGTTAATTTACGTGTTTACTGATGCCAAGTGGACTTTCAAATGCCAAGTGGATTTTCACACAGTGATTTAACAAAAAAAAGTAATATTAACTTGATCAGGCGCGGATCTAGGAAATTCTCGAGGGGGGGGGGGGGGGGGGGGGGGGCAAAAAAATGTTGAAAATTTTATCGAATTTATTTAGGTCGACCAAATTGATTTTCTGAGCTCTCCAAAATCACCATTAAGACCCTAAAGTGACCAATTTTTCTGCGCCGCAGGTAAGATTTTGAAAATAGGCCCAAAAAAGCGCCTTTAGAACAATGAACAATTTTAAGGTCACTCAGCCAAAAATGGATATCTCTAAATATACAAAGGGGGAGGGGGGACCATTTGAGTCGGCAGGGGGTCAAATCCCTGAGAGGGGAGGAGCGCCCCCCCCCCCCTAAATCCGCTACTGAACTTAATCCAAATTGCCTGTGCCACAGAAAATTTACAGGAAATAAAGTAAATTTAGTAGGCATCTGTCGAAAATCAAAGATGGCAAACAAAGTCAAAATTGTTAACTACACTAACAATTCAGCTTTAAATTTTTGCACAAATACTCGAGCAGCCACTAATGCATAATGAGGATCTAGACGGTACATTACATGAATACTTGATTGATTTCTAGATGCGATGATTTAAAAAGGTTAATTAAAGTGATAGTCACTGCATTGGATATTTCAGGTGAGCAATAACTTCGGATGTGGTTACTTCATATGGGCGGTTGGGTTTGGTCAGGGACCCCTGAGGGTAATAGAGGACACTCCCCGATCAACTCCCATGGAGTTAGAGACATATTTCCTCATCCAGGGCACAGCTATATTTCGATTCCTCACTACTGGCGAACTTCTGGAACAGCTGACTTTCTTATGGTTTAAGCAGGCCTTCATTTGCCCGGAGAAGCCTTGGTTTTGCTTGGAAGATCTAGTTCACGATGAGTTCAAAAGAAGAAGATTGAATGAAAACTCAACAAACCTAACTTGAAACATTTTAAATATTTGATAATGATCTGATTATTAGTTATAACGTCAATTATCAAAACTACTGGACGATAACTATTTTCCACCCACACTTATATGATTGATAACTTCCTTTTTGTTTTTCAGGGCTTAAATAACCCTAAAACTGAATTTAGTCCTAATGACTTGCTGATCGACCATTAAATTAACACTGACTTCTAAACAAGTCTTAGAATAAGCAAAAACTTCAGAATAGTTTTCGCATTCAGAGTTACGATTTGAATACAAAATCACAATCTTAAAAACAAAAATCACAATCTTAAAATCACAACCAAAAATCCACCCTAGGTGAGAGTTTTTTCCGTAATGCGACAAAAGACAACTCGCAATAAATGACAACTCGCTATAAGAGACATCTCGCAATATACTCACCGCCGCAGCGGCGCCAACTTGTTCCGAGCATGCCAACAGAAGGTAGACGCTGAAAAGATTCTTCTAAAACCTTGTGAATTTTTTGCTAACTTTTGGTTGCTTTTTTAGGTATCATTAAATACTTGCTGAAAACCAAGTATGGTTCAACTGATCACTTTTTAAAATGATTTCAACACTATTTATATCCCCACACAACTTTCTGAGCCGGATGACATGAGATTTACGCATTATAATCATGAAACATAATGAGCGTCAATGCTCAGTTTTGTAGCTTGCGGCAAAATACATAACTGAAAAAGAAGAAATCCGTAAAGGCAAAAACGGAGGAAGGGCTGATTTTTTTGTTTTTTTTTGGAAACATTTTTCATTAGATGGTTAGTATCAAAAACATGTGTCTATATCAATACAATGAATTAAATTTCATGTTGTATTTATGCATTGAATTTCATGAAATCAAATAGTTTCAAGTTTGCCTTGAAATTTCAAGAACGCTGGGTTTATTAGAAACGAGTTTTACCGTTATTTGCGGTAAACACCGTGTTATTGAGATGTACGTTTTTTCGGGCTGCAATTGAAAAAAGTCCAATCTTATGCCATCATATAGATCTTAGAACGTATAGCTTTTTTATCCGATAAATAAATACTAAAGATTGATTGCTCGATACAGACATTAAATGAAGACTTGAATATCGATTAGAAGCTATTGACTGCAGTTTTGCAATATTGACAGAGACGCCTAATTTGTTCAACTAAATGTAAGCCCAAAGTGGTTAGCTGGTAGGAGGTTAAATATTTTAGGTGCTGGTGTTTCGTACCAGTCAAATGTGGTATCATACTAAAGTCCCATTGGTTAGGGGGGTTCGGATTCCGAAAAAAAAACATCAAAAACATTGCGTGAGTGTCGAGAAAAACTGATCTGATTGTTTTCTATTTATTTTAAATTTCGTTTTGAGGTGTCTTTATTAGTTATTTCTACTTTGAAACATAAATGAAAACCAGATCTAATACAAACTTAATACAAACAAAATATTTATATTTTTTTACTTTTCGAAATTTGCACAGCAAACAGTACTCCATGTCAAGTTAAGGAAAATTTTGCGCAATAAACTTCTTAAATCGATTTTTTCTAAATAAAAAAGAATTGCGCGAGCGAAAAAGTATGACAATTCACTCGATCATCAAATGTTCATATGAGTTCCGGTGCGCAATTTTGCCGAAAGAAAAGCACTTGTATCTACAGTTCGACAAAACTTTTGTTGGTTCTTGCTAAGGACTATAGGCATATTGGAGCTCTAGTTCTAAGGGTGAGCAAGAAAAACGGGAATGAAGATATCGCTCACATTGTCATAACTGAATTAAGAAGTTCATTTGGATTTTTAATTAAAATTATACATTACTCAATCTATACACTTAAATTAGCATTTGCAATCATTGCACATATTTTAGATATATACGGCAGCAGCTCACACACGCCATGCAAAACTGAAATTGAATTCGAAAATAAATATTAGTTTTTTTAAGAGTAGTCCGAACTGTTATCTGAACCTGTAAGACTGTCTTCAGACGTAGGATTCTCGGTTCGGATCCGAGTCGGCGACACTCGGCGTTTCTCGGTCAAAAGCACCAGTCGAAGACTGCATGTAAGTGGCGCCATAGGCATCACCCCCTTCCAGGCATTCTCGCGAGTTCGGACTATAATCGTGACCAAAAAAGGATGGATCCGAACCGGCATATCCGGTGAACACGGAGATAGATTGCAAAGCTGGATTCTGGGCCGAAGCATTTAAAGCACTGAGTTTGCGAAGTGTTGGCGCTTTGCCAAAATCTGACCGCGAGTTGTTGGCGAGAGGAAAGTTTCCGTTTGACATCGCGTTCGAATCTTTCGTAACGTGTCGGTTTTGATTCGGGTAGTAAGACGCTGATTTTGGGTCGTAATTGGAGTTACTCGGAGATGAATTTTGAACTTGGTTGTTTGCTGAAGCCGGTGAACCTCTCTCGTGCTTAAGCGTGTTCAGTATTGAATTCTGCGAGCCAGAATTAGTTCTCGTGACGAGCGTTGACATATTCGAATGGTTATTGTTTATTAAATCGCGCTTGTCTAACGTGTCCTTGACATTTGAGCCCAAACTGTGGGTTGGCGATACGGCTACTCCGTAACTCACTGGCGACGCATTCTTTGACAAAAGCTTTCCACGAGCGGTATCTTCGTTTCTATACTCTGTTCCAGAGTTATTGAACAGTCTTTTCCAGGCGTTTCTGGCTTCGGAAAGCAAGATGCACTTTTCAGAGAAAAACAACCAGCTTTGGGTGACATTGGCAAAGCAAAATACAAAATCGAACGTCTGCAGGTCCAGAGATTGGGCGAAGAGCCAAGTGGCGGAGAAAAGGGCTAGCAGAATTGTCATGCTGAGAACATGTTTTTTGAAAGCTGTTAAATTCGCGTCACTTGAGTCGAAAACTGTAGGCGGTGTTATGTTATTAGAGTAGCTGTTAATCGAAGAGCTCCCATCGGGGTTCGATCCGGGGTTCAGTAGGTGATGCTGTTGTTGTTGGTGGTGAATGTTGTTGTTGTTGTTGTTGTTGTTATTCTTGTTTAGTGTGCTGCTTATGCTCTCTAAGTACCCGTCATTTAGGGGCATGTGGTTTATTTGTGCATGGGGATGACTACAGCAGCTTCGACAGCAGTAGATCCATAGAATGACAAACAGGTAGACACACAGGCCCACGATGACAATGATGGCTGATGGAACGGCGAGGGAGAGATAGTAGGCGATCTGCTCTGATTGGTCAGTTATGCGACAGCTAAATAACACGACCAGCCAATCAGAAAAGAGCTCTTCGAACAGAGACGAATTTAAGACTTTTTTTACACATTCTGAAATAGTTTCTTTTTTGATTCCGTTATTGAGCTACAAAACTCAAATTAAATGCAAGATCTGAAAATTGCTTAAATTGTTTTGATTGCCTAATAAAAATTTTGATTGCTAAAATTGTTTTGATTGCCTTATAAAAATTTTGATTGCTTAAATTGTTTTGATTGCCTCATCGCCATTTTGAGAAATACAAATATATCTGACCAAATATTAGAAAGCAAACACGATATGGATCTCTTGACAAGATCAAGATTCTAAACGTTGAATAGTGCAAAATTTGAGTGACTTGGATATCGTGGCAAGATCTAGTACGACGGCCAGGTTATTTGGACCATCGCTTTTATTCTCCCCCAGATATAAATATCAATTTTACGGCAAAACCATTGATTTTACCAAGGTGAGGGGGGGGGGGGGTTGAAGAACTGGATAATCATAGATGGTACAAAACTCCTGGCAGAAAAATCCAAGGACAAAAAAGTGGGAGGAGAAGAGTATTGCTTACTAGATGTCGCTGATATGGAACAGTTCTCCATTGTTGATCATCAGCATCGGAATCAAAATGAGCAGCGGTGTCGCTGAAACAAACTGTTTTATCATCCTAATAAACAAACGCCTTCTTTTACTAAACATTGAAGCTCAAATGCACGCAATATGCCAATGCCTATGCAATAGTTTTGATGGTATTTTTGAGGCTACGTCACGATAATTCAAAAGATTCCAGGTGCAATAAGTATTGAAATAATACGTTGGTTTAACTCATTGAAAGCTTTTTAACGGTGTTTTTTTTTTCAGATAAGCATCACTAACCCCACGCAATAACGAAATATTTGAAGGCGGGCATGGAGAGACAACTATGCGAGTTGAGCACCGTTCTGGAGCCCCCCTGCTGTCGAATACCTCCCCCTGTCCCCACCCCCACTCCAATGGCACCCCTTCCATTCTGGCTAGATCTGCTAATAGTGCTGTTTATGTTGTTTGTGTTGTTGCTTCCCCCGTTCGAGTGTTGCGGATGGACTATGATACTGGCGCCTGCTGTTGGACTCCTGACGTTCGCACATCCCCCCGCCCCTCCCCCTCTCATGTCAAATTGGGATGACAGCTGATGGAAGAGGAAGACTGCGTCAGCCACAAACCTAAAAAGAAGCTTTGGATAAATCATCCGAAGTTTCCGTCATTCGTGTTACAAAATAATTGATTTTTGCAAGTATCAAAAAACATAGATTTCTATATTAGATAACTGCTCAGTCTTTTTGGCTGGTTCATATGGTAGCTGGTTCATAATTTGGCTGGCGTTCATGCTACCCGTAACAAAAAAATCTCTATCACAGATGAAGATTGAACATAAAACTAGATTGATTTGTCCAACATAAAGGAAAGAAACAGCATGGTAACTGCACAGCTGATAACGGAGAAATTTTTGTGCTCTTGCAGATGTTTTTGACGATCTATTCAAAATATGCGAGGACAATTTTGTTCATTATGATAAATTTAATGTTGTAATAATAAAAACAATTTTTACTCTAGGGTATTTGACCACCTTTGGTACTATTTTACGACAATCGTTTTATGTTCAACTACACTAAAAACTTTTTAAAGGCTTTAACTTTGAGGGGGCGCGCGTAAAAAAAACGCGATTTTTCGATCAAAACCTTCCAATAAGTGCCTAAAAACGACATCTTTGACCTGTTTTTAAAAAAATTTGCTCGTGGCGCAGAACCTGTCAAAACAGGGTCTTTATGATATTTTGAGAAAGCTCGTAAAACTTATTTGGTCGACCGAAAAGAAGTATTCAATGACAATCCACCTCCGCGAGAAATTCACCGTTGGATTTACAAATCCGTTTTCAGGTGTCTCTTTTCCAATCCATTTTGGCTGGAGTTTTAGGTCTTCATCACCGAATCCATGATGACACTTACCATAGTAGGGTGGTGAGGGTGAAGTAGTGCGTGGATAGGGCGACCCAGTCGCAGATGGGGGACTGCTGTCCGAATCTGGCCCTGAGGGCGGCCACGATGAAGGATATGTTGAGCAGAAGCAACGACAGAGCTAAATTGATCGTCACTGTCCCATGCAACTGTCTCTCACTGCCACGCAGCGAACTGAAAGTGAACAACTTTGAAAAACAGTTTTAGTCCAAAATGGGTATAAGTTTGTGCTTTTACCTATTCTGATCGAAAAATCCTTATCGATAATTTTTTTAAAATCAAAAAATAGTGTATAATCTCTGATTAATGTTCCGATCACTGATAGATAGGCGGGAGGAAATTATGACTTAAGGTTAATTTGTAGGGGTTCACCAAGTGTGTCAATTTTCAAATTATATTAGTAATGATTTAAATTGCATGTGTCGAGTAATTTCAGCCCAATCATGCAGTTTTCAAAAAAAACATAAGCAAAAAAAATGAAACAACTAATAGACGGTTGTAAAAGTGTAAAAGAACAATGAAATTGTATATTTATAAATTGTTTATTTATAAATGGCCTTTACTCATAAAATTATAGTTTTTAAGGATAATCGAATCAATAGGTAATTATTTGATTGCGCTGCAAATTAAAAAAAAATACAATTCATTTTCAAAAATAGAAGTCGTTCATGTTTTTCGTAACTTTCATACAAAGAATTTGAACTGAATTTTATTTAAGACTGATTAAATCAGGGCAAAGCCCTGAAAATCTTGACTGCCTTTCAATGTCTATGGAGCACTGATTGTTTTTTAAAATCTGATGAAATTTTCAGCCAAAAATGAAAAAAAAAACATGAATTAAAATATTGAATTTTTTTTTATTCATCCCCCACACGCCACATTATGTACAAAGTGACAAAAATTGCTCCTATCAGCTAAGTAATTTAGACAAATAGACTGGTTTAACCAATTTAGAGCAAATTCTACGATCGATGAAATCTCCGCTGGCGCGCTAATAGCGCGAAATTTATCGCAAGTGAATTGTCCCAAAATGGTGATATTTGCAATTCTTACACCTTCAGCATTTTACATAAAATAATCACTGATAAAAAAATATTATCATAGGCTGTCAAAAACTCCTAGTTAAAAAATCGTAATTTGCTGGGAGAAAAAAGCTAACTCGGGCACAAATCTTCCATCACTTTCTTCGAAAGTCGGAAAAAACAAAATTCCAACAGCAAAAACTCAAATTGGAGCGTGAAATAAATTTAAAACTTTTCTCGAAAAAAAAAAAAACAAAAAACTTCACGACCTAATATGTGGAAATTATTAGTTAATTGTTCTGACTATCATTTTTTTTACAGTCAGTTACTTTGAATTACAGTATTCGCAACATTGCGAGTTATGTGAACGGCAACTGGTAATTTTTTATAAAGATTTTTGCAATAAAAAGAATGGAATAAGTGAATGTATTTAGTAACAAGAGTAAATGGTTGTGGTACATAAAACTTTTAATATATTTAACTTCAAATTTGTCTCCTTATTGTGCGGGATTTGACAAAAAAAAAACGAAACTTTTTTACATTAAATAATATTTTTTTTTTAAAATTTTTTAAATGTGAAACTATTTAAAAGGAATTAGCTAGGAAAAGAAATTTTCCTTCGGAGGCGTAAATTAGGCAGTATAGAGGTGTTGTTGCTGTGGAAACATCCTCCTGAACAAAATAAGGAATTTGAATTAATTGACTCAAGTTAGCTGTTCACGAAGCTGATGAGCTTGACGTACTCTTTATGTCTCCGAAAAACGACAGAAAACAGAAATAGAAGAGAAACTTAGTCCGGCGTCTAAAAAATGACAAACATTTATGAATAATTTTGCGCTGATGATCGAAATATGTCAACGAAGGAACTGTTCTAGCAATTTTTTCGGAGCAATTGTTGCTCCAATCCTTGCGCAAGATTTTGATAATCAATTGAGTTTTGTGTAAATTTTGACCAATTTTTTGGTATAAGCTCTCAAGAACTTTGAATGTGTGTGTGTGTGTGTGTGTGTGTGTGTGTGTGTGTGTGTGTGTGTGTTGGATTAGTTGATTCTTTACCTGAAGAGACAGTAGGTGATGATGGTGAGGGTGTATCCGACTATGGCGAATCCGACCCCAACAAAGGGCAGCACAGAGGGCACTGCATTGTCCCACACCAACATACTCTCACTCTAAACAACATTACAGAACAATATAAAACCAATTTTGATACCAACTTTGAACTTTCTAGTTTTGTATGGATTTTTGTTTTGCACAGAAAAAGAAAATTCAAATAAATCCTGTGACTAGCAAGTTTGCTGAGCTTAACCGCTATTAAATCCCAATTTGCGTTTTAATGTGAACAAATTTTTCAAAAAAGTTTCGGTTGTTGTTTCATTATGTTTTTTCTACATATTATTTTGAGCTCAGCTTGGCTCATGACAGTAATCCAAAACTTGCAGATTCCCAAAAAGGTGATTCAAAAGGCTAAACAAAACAATCTTGCAAATCCCCCTTTTTGCCCAAAAACTTCTGTGACGACAACACAAAAAAACTTTGCTCTAAAAACGTGTAAAAAAAATTCTGAACCCACCTTTCAAATAGGCTCAATATTGAATAAGAATGCCGCCAGCACTTGATCAGTTCCGTATTGTCACTTACCATGATGAAAGAGAAAGCGGTCAGGTGAGTTGATAGACAGGTTATGTTTCCATTGCCCAAATTAGTCCCAGAAGTCCCAAGGGAAGAGGACGAGCTACCCAATCCCAGGTCCAGAACAGAACTGGACGGAGAAGACCGCGAGGCAAACTGGGTTTTCTGGCTGGAAGATGAAGACGTGGAGTTCAGTTCAACACCTTGGCTGGACCAAAGCTTCTCTAAATTGAAATGATAGGTGTTTTAAGAAAACCTTTTTTTTTCAGGCAATTTTTTATACGAAATACTTCAAAAGAAAAACATAACAAAACATACTATGAAATTAATGAGCGACAACGCGATAGCAGAAAGCTACCAGAGCGCGCTTGAAGCATCGATCGAAAAAGTTTATATGACAGCTTTACTGTAACGCATTTTTTTTTGTAACCATTGAATTGAAGGACGACTGGAAAAAAAAGCAGTTTCGTTTTGAAATTTCGTTTTGAAATTTTATGCAGACTTTTAGTTGTGATCAGTGGTTCGATAATGCAAACCGTTACCTAAACAAAAACCTCTTGCGAGATATCCAAATCTGTCAAACATTATTACGCATTTTTTTTGTTCAATCGCACAATGTGACTGCAAATCGAAAAATTAATAATTAAAAAGATGATAACGATGCCAGCACATTGCTTTAAAATGAGCAAAACAGTTCAACGCTTGTATCAGAAAATGTATCTGTATCACTGTTTTTCAACACCGAAAATATGCAAGGTTCTTTAAACACAGTGAGCAGGACAGCTGCAAAAATCTTTGTGAAATAATAATAAATAGTGGTTTCTTCGATTCGCACAGGATCAATGAAAAGCTATCTAGCCTGTCTAAGCATAGTCCGTCTCTCTTGTTTCACCACTTTTCTGACAGAGTTATTCTGTTGAGCTAAGCTCGTTTTTGCGACTCAAGGCCGTTTTTTTTGCGTCTAGAACTTCATGTGGTACCACTTTTGAAGCCGTATTTGGTCAGGCTGAGGTAGACCTCATTTTAAAAAAACTGTGTTTTGATTTCGCCATCATTTCTCCAGCGATTGTGTATGTAAAAATGAAATCTTGCTGAAAACTCCGGCTCCTTTTGTGCAAACTTCTAAGATTTATTGCATATACTAAAAAGACTGATCGTAAGTAGGGGCAAAACCCACCCGTATTTCGAGTTCCCAATAAATGGTATCAAATAGTTTTAATTTCACAATAATTCCAAATACAAACAAACCCTTACAATTTTAAGAAAAATAACTATTTTTTATTATAGCGTCAATAACGTCTAAACAATCTCTTATTTTCTTCGAACTTTTTCCAATGTCCTGTATTTATGAATGATATATTTGTATAAGAGTATAATTATTAACTCCTTAACTCACATGAGGCTCAATGAAAACCTTCATCATTGAACAAAAACAAATCATCGCAAACCTAAATTGACACCAAAAAAAATAGAAACAAAAATATTGCAGTAAACCACACATTAACTTGTCAATTTATGCTATGCAATTATTTTTAGCCTACACCACCAAAAAAAAATAAAACTTACAGAAAATTAAAGATTATTGAACACTTTTTTTCGCTGTTTTTTATTTTCTTCCAAAAATAAGCTGTTTTGGAATGCTCGGAGAGAAAAATAAACTAAGATTACCAAATAACAAGATCAATAAAAATGGTCAAAAAAACTTAACCTCAGTTAAGTTTGCAAAAACACTGAAGCAAAAACGATTTTTTTTCAATTTCTTAAGTGTTTTGCATTTTTTGCAAGAGTATAAAATCAAAAATCACAAAAATTCTGGCAAAGTAATTAAGGCTTCATTTTTTTAAACTCTGTTTTTCGAGTAGAAAGACAAAAAATATTCTGATCAAATTGATGATCAATAATTAAAAAAAAAGAAAAATCGAAAAAACCAAACTTTATCCAGAAAACTAGACTGAAAATCAAAAATTTAATAACAGTTATTCTTGACACTGGGAAGTTTTGAAAAAATTAATTGTCGATTGCATCATTACTTTAAAGGCTTGTTAGTGATATTCTTCAATTTTTGCTGCTGAGTTTTGTGGTAACAATGTTGTTGATTTCGCTTGAAAAAAAGAAACACTTTGAAAAAGCCAAAACTTACCCAAAGACAAAGTTCCCTCCCACTTATTTTAGAAAAACTCATTTTTTAGTTTTGCTACAATGATAGTGAGATATGATTTTAGTATTCAATTTGGTCTGAAAAGGGAAAACAAAAATTTTATTGCATAAGTATTTTAGCAAGCCGAGCGACAATTGTGGGTATCAAGTGAATCGCGCGTCAATTAGCAAGCCAAGCGACAACTGTTAATAGCACGACTTAAATCGCGCGTCAGTTATCCCATTTGGCCAAATTGACATTTTTAAAACCTACTTAATTTTGCAAAAAATGATCACAGGTGAATTGCTTTTTTTTTAAATTATGAGCTCTAAACATCTATAGCTTTCAGATGACTTAAACATAATTGAGTTGCAAATAATATGAGTGCTGAAGACAAAAACTTGATTTCAAAGCATTTTTGTGTTTCGCCCTCTATTGATTATCTGTTAAACTTAAGCGTTAAAAAACTAAAGTTTTCATTATTTAAGTTTCTTTTGCGCGAAATTTTTTTTGTACTTTGTTGGAATCAATTTTCAAAAAAATTTCTCGGCAACTGATCCGACAAGTGAAACGTAAATATTGATTGACATCGTTAAGCGTTTAAGTTATTTACGATGGCATGAAATGATCCAATTTTTGTCAAAATTTTTTGGGATAGTTTTGCACAGGAAGCTGCATCATATCAATTTTGACAAAATTTTGATTGTTTGTTTCCATTCATTTTTGTTTCAAGTCCCAATTGGAGAAAAACACTATTGAATTTTTTTTTTGATTTCGTTTTTTTTCTGATTAATTTAATCACCTCTGCATGCATGTTTTTAATAATTTGGCGAAAAAAATATTCAGTTTTCAGCGCTCGTTTTGTATCAAAATCAATTACAAAAGAAACTGCTCGTATGTTTTTGACTGCTTTTTAAGGCCTATGGGTAATGTTTGCTTAAAAACTTTTTTAAAAGCATCGCGCAACTTGCTAATTAAAGTACAAATTGATGTATCTAACAATCAGCAAAGTTTTAAACAGACAATACGTCTTGCCTCAGTACATTTTATAACAATTTCTGGTTGGATTAAATCACCGCTTACGCCTTATTCGCATAAAATCTCTCGTGCTTTAATTGTCTTAAGTTCGCCAAACTGGCAGCATTTAAACCTCTTAATCTTACCAGAAAAATCACAGTGAAGTATCAATTAAATTTGGCTCAGCATATTAATACTTTTCAGATGATAGAAAAAAATCTGACAATAATAGCCAGTAAAAAATTCGAAAGTTGGCTGAATAAAAAACACACCCCAACATGAAAATATTCAAAATTTCCTTCAAAAAACGGAAGAAAAAGCTGTTTTCAACCTCGACTTTTTTCAGTTTTTTGAAGCAGGAACTTTAGTTGAAAAACCACTTCAAATTTTTTCCACTTGGTCACTTCGAGGCAGCTTTAAATAACTGTTATCTCGCTTTAAATTTAACCAATGACCAAGGTTTTTTGAATCGAACTGACTGCCTTTCGATTCTATGCAGAACTGTTTAGTTTAGAAAAAACAATGTTTTTCTAGATCTATCCCACCACGCTATGTAAAGCATAAAGTGATATATTTTGCCTATAACAAACTTTAGTTAGACAAAAAAAGTCAATTTGGAACGAATTCTACGACGGATAGAATCAAATATATCGCGCGTTAAATTGGCTAAAATGGCAGTGTCTAAACCACCATAACTTTGAGAATAGTGATCACATGTGAATTAGTATCGTTTTGTACAATCTTGCAGTGATAAAAATGGATAAAAATTGATTATCCATAGAAAATATACAGATTTGTTGTAATTTTAAATAGTAAAACTTCGATTATTTAGTTTTAATAATCCATTATAATTTTGTTTATTTTCTGTATCAAATTCTATGCATAGTGTAAAAAGATTACATACAGATTATCTGCAGAATATCTACAGATTATCTACAAAATATGTACTGATTATATTGAGATTATATACAGACTATATACAGATTATATACAGATTTTATACAGACTATATACATATTATATAAACATTATAAACTGATTTTTTCAACAATCTCGCCAATCAGATAGAATGAGTCTATTGAAATAAAATTATAATGAAGGCTTTTTATTAACTTTTTTGAACTGATGTTTGATCTGAAAAAAAAAATTAAATTTCTTATTGGAAAAATAATTTGCAGCAAAAAGTAAATTACTCTATGATAATTTTTCAAAATTTTTATTGATATTTTATCACAAAACCGCGCTGATTAGGTTGATCTTTCAAATGGATTTTGAAGAAGTTCTGCACAAAATTACTCTCTTACCGCGATAACACTTAGATGGCAAAATCTTAGAGGGACCTCTTGAAACTTGTAGTTTGCGGCAATCAATTTTCCTCAATTAAAGTTCAGCTCACTGTAAAACTGAGGAAAAATTTTCCTGATGGCAATTTTTTGTTGAATTAGTCACAAAAAATCATTAATTTATATTTTCAATGCTCAAAATTGAAATTGTCACAACCACTATAGTTTTTAGGCAATATAAATTAGTTTGATACAGATTTTTTACATATTATATAAAGATTATCTACATATTATCTACAGAGTATCTACAGGTTTTTTGTAAAACGATTATACACTGACTATATGCAGATTATCAACAGATTATATATTGGTTTTACACAATGCAAAAACCGAGTATTTTGGCACTTAAATCCATTTATGTTTAGTGGAAAAAATGGATTCTATTTGTACAGATTCAATTATCGTTCGAAAAATGGTTGTAGATAAATCGATTTTATACTTACGTTAATCTGTAGATTTTTCTGTTTACAATCGATTTGTATCCATTTTTGTCACTGCGGGATACCTTCGGAATGATACAAAAAATATAAACTGCTAGTTAAGAAGTCGAAATTTGCCTGCAGAAATACCGCGAGCACAAACAAGCACCTCGAGCACAAATATGTTGTCACAATAAAGTAAAAAAAAAGGTCAGAGAAAATTGGAGAACACAGAAAATTCGGCTCAGAGCATCAAACTTTCTTCAGTGTTTTTAGATTAGTCCACCAAAGGGATTAAATAGAAAATTGTCAGCAGAAAAAAAACAGACTTTTCATACAGTCTACCTGACATTCTCCGATACAAGTTAGGAGCTTTTTATGACTCAACTTATAATCGTAATTACGTATTTTTTCGTATCTGCATCAATATTTACCTCCAAGTTATTACTCAAAAAAGTCTCAACCAAATATCAGCGTAATAATAAAATAAAAAATATCAAATGTAAGAATTTTTTTAAAGACGAGTGAAAGATTATTATGAATCTCGATTGTTAATAGACTTGGCGTCTCAATGTCTGCATTTTGTGGTACTCTAGCAGAGCGAGTTTGAAGGAGTAAGTAATTGGAAGATAGAAGAAAAAAGATGAAAGGTAAAAAAATTCTCAAGTGATGTGAAATATTTCGAGTACAGCACTCTTTCATTGCCCCTTCAATAAATATGTCCCAATCGATTTCTCTGCCTGCACACAAAACACGCAAATGATTAAAACGTCAGCCTTGAATATTTAATTTTCTTTTCAAATCCAAAAAAGACTGGACAATTTGTAGCTCGAGTTATGCTTTGTGTGGCCTGTCACTTGCATTTAAACCATAAAGCCTTTGGCTCGACCCTATTAGAGCCCCCATCCACTAGCATAAAAACATTATAGCCCCTCGAAACTGTAATTTTGAATTAAGAGTTTGCCACTGGTTTTTAGTAATGATGAAGATTTTTATAAGCGCCTGATATAGCTGATATATTTCACCCAAATCGACGGTTTTCTTAAAATAATTTTGAAAAATCTGCTGATTTTTGTCTTATGGGTCAATCAAATAGATTTTTTGGCTTCTTTTGAGAGCGCGTGCCAAAAAATATTGTTTTGGGTTTTTTGGATAAAAAATGAATGTTGTGAATTATTTATTACCAAGGAAAGGAGCATTTGGAAAAATTTGGCCAATCAAATTTCTTCGTCAACGCGCTAACTATTATGGATTTTTCTGTAAAACAAAGTAATGGGAGCCGCTCCATTTTTTCTGCAGTGGTCTAAAGTTACAGAGAAATTTGAGAAAAAATCAACTTGTCGCAACAAGAAGCGCATCAAATGTCATCGAAATAAGTAGTTATGATTAAAACAAAAATTCGTAAGGTACTAACCAGTAACCAAAAAACCAATCGGAGCGGCTC